AAACTGGAGGTAATTTCTCTTTTCTGGAAAGATTTTTCATGAAGGATTTTTTATGTCCACTTAAAGAAATTTGTCCTTAGTTTTTTATGAAATTATTTAATTCATCATGACGATTGAGAAAAAAATGCACCACCTGAAAGTTGAAAAGTATGTTTTATTTGGCATATAAAACTGACGACTGGAGCCCAGGAAGCAGCCTCTCAGATGGCTCTGAGATACCCTTCTAAAGACATGAGGGAGGAGCCAGGGGATCTAGGAATTTTTGCAACAAAAGCCAGGTTGTCAGAACAATGAGAGATTACTGTTGGGGACCTGCTTGGTGGTCCAGTGGCTAAGACTGGGCTCTCCCAATGCAGGGGACCCTGGGCTGACACCTGGTCAGGGAACTAGATCCCACACGCAGCAACTAAGAGTTGGCATGCCACAGTGAAGATTCTGTGTGTGGCAGCTAGAGCCAGGCACAGTTAAATAATTTTTTTTAAAGATCACTGTTATTTAAAGAAAATCAGACCTCTTGGGTTAATGAATTTAGCCTCTTTCTGTGAATGGCAAAGTGCAGGTTTCTGGGTTCCCTGAAGTCAGTCCTCTGATCTGCACCTCGCTAATAACTCAGTTGGTGAAGAATCCACCTGCAATGCAGGAGACTCCGGTTCAGTTCCTTGGCGAGGGAGATCCCCTGGTGAAGGGACAGGCTACCCACTCCAGTATTCTTGGGCTTCCCTGGTGACTTACCTGGTAAAGAAACCACCTGCGATGCAGGAGGCCTGGGTTTGATCCCTGGGTTGGGAAGATCCCCTGGTGAAGGGAAAGGCTACCCACTACCGTATTCTGGCCTGAAGAAGTCCATGGGCTGAATAGTGCATGTGGTCGCAAAGAGTCGGACACGACTGAGCGACTTCCACGTCCACTCTGGCGCCAGTGTCCTGTGCGGTCCATCCTGGGTCCCCGGGGTGCACAGCTGGGGCGGCTGCAGTGGCTGCTCTGCCAGCTCTGATCTCATCTTGCTGTTGCCTTTTCACCCACCTAGCCCAGTGCCAGCGGGGTGGGTGCAAGAAACTGCCAGGATTCAAAACCACGCTTCCCACTGCCAGACAGGTTTGGCAGCCACTGCTCCGCTCTGTCCGTTAGCTTCCTCACCTACATGGGCGGGGGGTCGGGGGGGGGGAACACAGGCCCTGCCTCACACGGCAGCCTGAGAGGCTGTTGAGGTGGGCCTCAGGATGATGCCTGCTGTGAACACGCCATGGGTGCTCCGTATTATCGCTACAGACACAATCCAAAGGGAATCCCACCCTGCTTCCCACAGGTAACATTTACTATGGATAATGAGCAGTTTCCTGAACATCTTTCAGTTCAGTTCAGTGGCTCAGTCATGTTCAACTCCTTGCAACCCCACAGACCACAGCACGCCAGGCCTCCCTGTCCATCACCATCTCCCAGAGTTTACTCAAACTCATGTCCATCAAGTCGGTGATGCCATCCAACCATCTCATCCTCTGTCATCCCCTTCTCCTCTCGCCTTCAGCCTTTCCTAGCATCACTTCAGTCACTCAGTCGTGTCCGACTCTTTGTGACCCCATGAACCACAGCACGCCAGGCCTCCCTGTCCATCACCAACTCCCAGAGTCCACCCAAACCCATGTCCATTGAGTCAGTGATGCCATCCAACCATCTCATCTTCTGTCATCCCCTTCTCCTCCTGCCTTCAATCTTTCCCAGCATCAGGGTCTTTTCAAATGAGTCAGCTCTTCGCATCAGGTGGCCAAAGTACTGGAGTTTCAGCTTCAACATCAGTCCTTCCAATGAACACTCAGGACTGATCTCCTTTAGGATGGACTGGTTGGATCTCCTTGCAGTCCAAGGGACTCTCAAGAGTCTTCTCCAACACCACAGTTCAAAAGCATCAATTCTCCAGTGCTCAGCTTTCTTTATAGTCCAACTCTCACATCTATACATGACTACTGGAAAAACCATAGCCTTGACTAGATGGACCTTTGTTAACAAAGTAATGTCTCTGCTTTTTAATATGCTGTCTAGGTTGGTCATAACTTTCCTTCTAAGGAGTAAGCGTCTTTTAATTTCATGGCTGCAATCACCATCTGCAGTGATTTTGGAGCCAAGAAAAATAAAGTCAACCACTATTTCCACAGTTTCCCCATCTATTTGCCATGAAGTGATGAGACCACATGCCATGATCTTCGTTTTCTGAATGTTGAGCTTTAAGCCAACTTTTTCGCTCTCCTCTTTCACTTTCATCAAGAAGCTCTCTAGTTCTTCTTCACTTTCTGCCATAAGGGTGGTGTCATCTGCATATCTGAGGGGATTGATTCTTCTCCTGGCAATCTTGATTCCAGCTTGTACTTCCTCCAGCCCAGCATTTCTCGTGATGTACTCTGCATATAAGTTAAATAAGCAGGGTGACAATATACAGCCTTGACATACTCCTTTTCCTATTTGGAACCAGTCTGTTGTTCCATGTCCAGTTCTAACTGTTGCTTCCTGACCTGCATACAGGTTTCTCAAGAGGCAGGTCAGGTGGTCTGGTATTCCCATCTCTTTCAGAGTTTTCCAGAGTTTATTGTGATCCACACAGTCAAAGGCTTTGGCATAGTCAATAAAGCAGAAATAGATGTTTTTCTGGAACTCTCTTGCTTTTTCAATGATCCAGCGGATGCTGGCAACTGGATTTCTGGTTCTTCTGCCTTTTCTAAAACCAGCTTGAACATCTGGAAGTTCATGGTTCACGTATTGTGAAGCTTGGCTTGGAGGGTCTTTTCAAATGAGTCAGTTCTTCGCATCGGGTGGCCCAAGTATTGGAACATCTTTATTTCCGGTTAAAAGCGAATCCTCTCAGCGGTGGGCTGTCCTCCAGTCTCCAGCCCGAGAAGCGCCTTCTTCTGCCCCACACGCAGCATCCCCTTCGGTCCCTGGAGCTTCTTCTCCTCTCACTGATGTCCTCTTTTTGGCTCATTCCGCCCCCGGCGAACCCAGCGGTCTGAACCGGTGTCTGCCCACCCCGAATCTGCGTGGGTGAACAGTTGGCTCCACACGCCCTGCTCTCTTCCAGTCACCTCCCAGGTCTGCGCTAGGGGCAGCGAGTGAAAACTGTAGAGTTCCGGGAGGGGCCGAGGAAGACACCTCCCCAGCAACCAGCTTTGCCTGGCCTTCACTGAAGATGAGGACCAAAGTCCCCAGCATGCACTGCGCCGGGACCACGCCTGCCCGCGCTGAGGGGAGCGCGGAACTACGATCCCCAACATGCACTGCGCCTGGGCCGCGCCTGCCCGCGCAGAAGGGAGAGTGGAACAGCGACTCCCAGCATGCACTGCGCCCACGGAGCAGAGCGGAACTACAGTTCCCAGCATGCAGCGGGCAGCCGCAGCCTCTCCCGGGTTGCAAGCGGAGCTCTGCACCGGCACCGGGATCCCGCGGTCGTGCGGTGGGCCCGGGGGCGGGCATCCTGTGCGGGGTGCCGAGAGGGCGGCGCGGCTGCGGCCGATGGGCTGCCCACTTCTCTGCGGTCGATACCCGCTTTCGGTCCCGGAGCAGGAAGCCGGCCCTGCGGTTAGCAAATCACGCAGTTTAAAAGACGACTGGGCCAGCCCCTGAGCAAGAGGAGGTCCCCCGGTAACACGTCAGGCTTTGTTCTAGGGGGAGCCGCGGACTGTGTTCGTTGTGCATCACGACAGCTAGCTGGGGGCCCTTCGCCGCGGGCCTTGGGCCCCTGTAATTCTGCTTGTGTAAATGCGCTGCGTGAGCTCTGGTGTGCGCGCCCCTCCCTCGCACAGAAGGCCTCAGGCTACTGACACTTGTTAGGATACCGTGAGCTGAGCCCCGGGCTGCAGACGCCCTGGCGGCCTCTCCACCGAGCTGGCTGTCAAGATGCGCTGGACACCGAGCCAGCCTCCCCGTCCGACCCCCGCGAGCTGAGAGCTCGCCCCCCCGCGACCTCAGCTCTGCCCGGGGCGTAGCTGTGTGGCCGTCAGCTCTCTCCAGGCCAGCGACGACCCGGGGGCGGGGGCACAGCGCGGGAGCCTGTCCTTGTCAGGAGCCCGTGAGCCCTCAGGGACGGGCTGTAACCGGAGCAGAAACAGCCTCCAGCTGCTTCTCCAGGATGCCCGGCTCTCACAGCCCGGGTCCCCGGAGAAGCCTCACACCTCATCGCCGACAGCGAGGGGCCAAGGTCAGCGCGTCCCTCCTCCAGCCCCCACAGCCCGCAAGACACGTGCCCAGCTTACCAAGCGGGACTCTCCCCCGGCTCTCCCCCCGGGGTTATGCTTCATCCTTGACTGTGGCTTATGTGCAAGGACAGGAGGCTGAGAACAGAGCCGTCAGGAAGCCATAAGTCTTGCCTGAATTCCAAGCTAAGCCTTATTGTGTGGAGGGGCAGGGAGCAGGCAGTCAGAAATTTTACTCAAGACAGAGCGGCATTAGTTCTTCAGGACCAGAACCTAGGCTCTCGGCCGGGGCGGTCACCAGGGCCAGCCTTTTAGGCCTGTGGCCTGAGTGGACACGCAGGGCCCCCTAGTCAGAAGCGCCTCGCACTTGGCCTGATGCTCTGCTTTTACTGTCTTGAAATTCTCGGTAATTTTTGGACCAGGGGGGCGTGCATTTTCACTGTGCCCTGGCCTCCACACATCCTCTCTGGCCCTGACAGGCGCTCCTCCTGGAGCTCAGTTCCTTCTCTGTGAGGTGACCTCTCCATCACTGGGCTGTCGTAACAAAACACCATGGATTCGGGAGCTTGAACAACAGTGGTTTAGTCTCCCTCAGCTCTGGCGGCTGGGAAGTCCGAGGGCAAGGCTCCAGCCTGGCGCAGTTCTCCTGGCCTGCAGAGAGGCCTTCATGCCGTGTCCTTAGGTGGCAGGTTGGGCAGAGGGAGCCCCTGAGGCCTCTTCCTCTTCTCCTAAGGGCCTCGGCCCACCCCAGGGGCCCCACTCTCCTCACCCTCCCAACCTCATTGACACCTCCTGACCCCAGAGGCCCACCCCCGGCTACCCTCATACTGAGCGCTGGGGCTTCAGTGTATGAGGGGCGGTGGGCACAGTTGAGTCCATGGCCACTGGGAAGGTTGGGCTAAGATATCTGCAAAGGCACTTTAGATACAATACCCTTTCATCCAAAGAAGTTCTGTGTAGAGCTTGACATATTCCGTATGACAGGCTGATTTTTCTAAACTTTTCCTTCTTTTCCTTTTGTTTCTGCTTTTTCGTGACTTTTCTCGCCCTTTCTACAGAGTGTTTCTGCTCTGTGCAGGTGGTGGGGGAGAGGTCGGGCCAGTCCCTCATCACCCGTGGCAGTTGTTTCATTGCCCTGTAGCTCCAGAGGAAAGTGATTTATCCATGGGCGGGGTGGGGGGTTCCCTGGTCTCCCCCTTGCCTTTCTCATGTGTGAAATGGAGATGGTAGTAGCACCAACATGGTAGGGTGATCAGTGGAAAGCACTGAGATAGTATCTGCAAAGAGCGAGCACTTAGAACAGGCTGGCTGTGTGGATTTCCCACACATGGTCAGTCCTGTTACAGCTCAGCTGCATCCACCTTGGAGCAGTTATACACCATCCACGGAGACAGAGCAAAGTCACAGACACACACAGGCATGTCTGGTGTTCTGCCTGGCAACACGTTCTAGACTGTGGTCCCCAGGAAGGCAGTGGTCACACAGCCAAGGATACAGAGCCCGACAGGCAGAAATGTGGAGGGGCAGGAGATGGCTGGGCATGGTCCTCAAAGAGAGGATTATTCAGAGAGAGCAAGCGCTGGATGTCCGCGCCGGCCCCATGACTCACTGCTCAGCACTTGTCTGCACGAGTCTGGGGTGAAACTCCACCCGGCGATGGAGGCAGAGACAAACTCCAGGGGGTGGCCGATGAACAGGTCCTCAATCTCGCTCAGGGGGAGGCGGTGGGAATGGGGTCCAGTCCCAGGGCGGAGACCTGATGGAACTGTGTGGACGATCGGGGATCGGCGTCAGTCTGTCCCAGCTGTGTAATGAATACCGCAGACGGGATGTGGGCGGAGCAGGAAGGCTCATAGAGGACAGCAGAAAGCTGCTCCCCGCGGTTCTCTGGAAGGCGCCAGCAGCGGGGCTTCTGATGAGGACCCTCTGACAGGTTACAGAGTGCGGACTTCCCTCTGAACCCACCCGTGGCAGAGGGAACAAGGGAGACCACCAGGGGGTCCCCTTCCTGGGGACTGCTCCCCAGACCGAAGCATCCCGCAGAGGCTCTCGCCTTCTAACACCGTCCTGTTGGTGTTAGGATTTCAGCCTGAGGGTTTGGGAGGGAGACAGATGTTCAGACTACAGCAGGCAGTGAAAGCACCGGCCTGGCCAAATCTCTCCTCCAGGTTGGTGAAATTAGACCAGAGTAAAGGTGCTTTTGGAGAAGGAAATGGCAACCCCTCCAGTACTCTTGCCTGGAGAATCCCAGGGACGGAGGAGCCTGGTGCAGGCTACCGCCCATGGTTCGCAGAGAGTTGGACACGACCGAGCGACTTCACTTAAAGGTGCTCTGCCTACCACTGTAACGGCCACAAACAAGACCATGAGAGGATTAGTCTGATCCAAGGAGAGACCGACCGCCTGCTAAGCCTAACTTCAACCTTCTTTGAAGGGGGGAAACCAAAGGCACGCTGTCAGCAAGCTGCATTCACCATCAGACGTAGGCAGACACGGTCGCTAGGCGCCGGCAAGCAGTGTTGGGGGAGCACGAGTATAAACAGATAGAAATAACGGATATAATGAAATTAGCAGGCACAGGCATTAAAACAGCTATTATAAACATTATAGATGTACTCCAGTATTTAAATTGAAACATGACCATAATGAGAAAGAAATATAAGCCACTAAACTGATGTCATTTGTGCATCCAAAGATACTATTAACAGAGTAAAAAGGCGCCTCGGGGTATGGGAGAAAATATTTGCAAATCATGCATTGGATAAGGGATTAATATTGAGAATATATAACACAACAATAACAAAAAACAGCTTCTTTTAAAAATATGCAAAGGCCCTGAACAGACGTTTCTCCAAAGAAGATATACCAATAGCCAATAAGCACATAAAAAGTTGCTTGGCATTGCTAATCATCAGAGAGACACAGATCAAAGTCTGACACAACTTGGCCAAGTGATGGACAAGATGCTGAGAGGGATAAGCCAGACAAAAATGGACAGGCAGACATGATTCTACTTACGGGAGGTCCCTACAGGGGGCAAGTTCATGGAGACAGAACATAGTGGTGGTTGCTGGATTAGGGAGGGGGTGGGGTGTTAGTGTCTAACTGGACAGAGTTCAGTTTGGGAGGATGAAACATTCTGGAGATGGGCAAGGTGACGGTTCTACAGAAACATGAAGATACTGAAGGCCACTCAGCTATACACCTAAAAATGATCAGAAATAATAGCTTTTATGTATGTTTTGCAGTAAAAAATGAGAATAAAAAATTATCAGATAAAATTTTTACAGATGAAAAAAGCAATGTCCAGATATGGATGTGGATATGGATATATGTTCAGTTCAATTCAGTCGCTCAGTCGTGTCCGACTTTTTGCGACCCCATGAATCGCAGCACACCAGGCCTCCCTGTCCATCACCAACTCCCAGAGTCCACCCAAACCCATGTCCATCGAGTCGGTGATGCCATCCAACCATCTTATCCTCTGTCATCCGCTTCTCCTCCTGCCCCCAATCCCTCCCAGCATCAGGGTCTTTTCCAATGAGTCAACTCTTCGCATCAGGTGGCCAAAGTATTGGAGTTTCAGCTTCAACATCAGTCCTTCCAATGAACACTCAGGACCGACCCCCGTTAGGATGGACTGGTTGGATTTCCTTGCAGTCCAAGGGACTCTCAAGAGTCTTCTCCAATACCACAGTTCAAAAGCATCAATTCTTCGGCACTCAGCTTTCTTCACTGGATATATGTAGACAGATATAAATATAGCCTGGAATTAACTGCAGATTAGACACTACAGAAGAAAAGGAGAGTAAATTTAGGACATCGGAACAGAAACTGTCCAAATTAAATCTAAATAAAAAAAGAAAAGCTAAAAAAAAAAGGATAAGAGTTAAAGGAGAGATAAATTATTTAAAGAAATTATGGCCAGAAATCATATAAATCTGATGAAAATTATGAACCCACATAAACAAGAAGCTCAGTGACCCACTAAGCAAAATAAACAGCAAGAGAACCATGCAAAAAACATAACAATCAAATTTCTGAAAGCCAATAATAATCAGAAAATCTTGAAAACAGAAAAGTAAAAAATGTTGTTAGCAGAGGAACAATTGTAATAGACTTGAGACTTTCGAGAGACACGAGAGAAGAACAGCATCTTCAAAGTTACTGGAAAAAAAAACAAGCTGCTAGTCTGTAAGCTGGCAAGGATAGGAGTAAAAGTATTCTTTTTAAAATGAACACGAGACTTTTTCACATAAAAAAGGTGAAAGAATTCATGGCTAGCAGAGCCATAGGAGAAGACTTTATAAAGGAGGTGTTTCAAGTGGAGAAAGTGATTTTAGATAGAAAATTGAACTGACAGATATGAAATACACGAGAATGAAATTACCGAGAAGAGCAGGTCCTACAGGAAGAAAACTGCTAAACCTAAATGAAGAAGATAGGACACATGGCCAACTGGAGTAATAGGTGATGTTCTCTTAGAGGAATACAAGGTACTGTGAAAATGCTCTCTCTACAAATTAATCTATAAATTTTAGTATTTTCAGTGAAAAATTCCACAGGACCCTCCAAAATTCCAACTGGTTCAAAAAACGCAAGATATTTCTAAAGTTAATTAAAAAATAAAGAAAAACGTAATAGAAGGTATTGTTTCTAATCATTTTAAGAACTACATGAAACTACAATAACTAATAAAAGACTGTGTAACTAGACTTAGGAAAAGTGGCCTGATGACGGAAAAAGAGCCGAAGTACAGCAGACCCGATTTATGTAACGACTCTGTGGGCTTCCGTGCTAGCTCAGCTGGTCAAGAATCCGCCTGCAGTGCAGGAGACCCCGGTTCGATCCCTGGGTCGGGAAGATCCCCTGGAGAAGGGACAGGCTGCCCACTCCAGGATTCCTGGGCTTCCCTGGTGGCTCAGCTGGTAAAGAATCCGCCCTCAATGCAGGAGACCTGGGTTCAATCCCTGAGTTGGGAAGATCCCCTGGAGGAAGGCATTGCAACCCACTCCAGTACTCTTGCCTGGAGAATCCCGTGGACAGAGGAGCCTGGCAGGGTACAGTCCATGGGGTCACAAAGAGTCGGACACGACTCAGCACGGCATGTACACTTTTTCACTTTAAGAGTAGTCTTAAGGTTGAAAATAAGTAGGGGGAAGTGACTTGAAATGTTTACATTAATAAGCAACCACATGCAGAAGCAAATATCTGAAAACTTTCAGAGACCAATTATGCAACAGGTACCAAAAGTCTTAAAATGTATTTATGCTGTGGCTTATCTTTTCTCCTTCTAGAAATTGTTGTTGTTGTTGTTGTTGTTTAGTCACTAAGTCAACTCTTTTTGACCCCATGGGCTGTAGCCTGCAAGGCTCCTCTGTCCACACGACTTCCCAGGCAAGAATACTGGAGTAAGTTGCCATTTCCTCTTCCAGGGGATCTTCCCAAGCCAGGGATCAAATTCAGGTCTCCTGCATTGGCAGGCAGGTTCTTTACCACTAAGCCATCACCCGTGTACAAATATCAAACAGGAGACTCAATTGCTCTTACAAAAACGCTACAGAATTGATGTTCACAGTTGTGAAAAATTATAAACCTCTTAAATGTTTTACAGTGGGGAACTGGCTGAATAATTATGATTTTGGACTTATCTATTTGAGCTTCCCAGGTGGTACTAGTAGTAAAGAACCCACCTGCAAACTTAGGAGACTTAAGAGAAGCAGGTTCAATCCCTAGGGAAGATCCCCTGAAGGAAGGCAGGCTGGACTGAAGGAGGGCATGGCTGCCCACTCCAGTATTCCTGCCTGGAGAATCCCCACGGACAGAGGAACCTGGTGGGCTACAGTCCATAGTGTTCCAAAGAATCAGGCAGCTGAAGCAACTTAGCACAATGCACTTATCTATATACCATGAACCCAACTGCACATAATCAAATATGTTACTGCAATATCTCTTCAAAAATCTGTTTATTATTTGATTTGTCGAAGAAGTAATCTCTGCCAAGCAATAGGCCGGATGCCAGAAACACTCATGAATAAGAGGAAGTGTTCATCCTTGAGAAGCTCAGTCCGTCGGAAAGACAGACAGGAGACGACAAGGTGAGTGCCGCCCGCCCGGTGAGAAAATCCATA